ATCCAATCTTGGTTTTGATCCGGATCAAACCTTTAGTTTGGGTTTTTCAGACCTTTTTTGTAGGATCTGGATCACTTTGATGCAAAAAACCTGGATTAAACTGATCCCATCAGAAGGGTGGATTAAGCGTGGATTTCATGTCCAAAATGTAATGAAAACTTAAAAAATGTATTAAATAATACTATTTTTGGATCATGCAGTATCTTACGAGATATACTATTTATTTATAAGGTTTTAATTTTATTTGTTCATCTGTCAGGCTATAGTGAGTATAGGCTTTAATGTATTCAGCCTTTCAGTATAGGCCTACAGCAAAATAAAAAGAGTTTGGCCTCATAAAATAATCCCCCAACAGCTGTCAAAACTGACCAAAAACAATCAATTTTATTCTGTCACTAATTGATATATATATATATATATATATATATATATATATATATTCATCACAATGGAAAATATTTTTCTTTTTAGAATATTTGTTAGTGATGCATGCAATGATTACAGAATAACAAAAATTTTTTTGCAAAGAATGGCAATCGCTGATTTTTGAAATCACTTTCAACAATTGCAAAAAGAGACTGAAAGGGCAGAAGCACAGCTTCGTCTGGCAGAGAAACAACTGACTCTAACCAAATTGCAGCAAACCAAGGCCAATGACTAGAGATTCGTCTCCTAAAGGCTACGCTCAGACAAGCTGGTCTCTCTACATCAGATAAGGAAGTCTGAAATTATTGTGGAGTTTTTGACATTAAGTCTTTTTTTATTTACATCTATATTTGAAACTTATTATAAATATCCTCAATGTAGTGTTGTAGGTCTCAGATGAGTGGACTGCTGAAAGAGGATGTGGTGGGGTTTTTCTTGTTTTTATTATTTATTATTATTATTGTTTTAATAATTATTAAAATTTTTTAGTTTTCATTTCAAATAAAAATAAAAGTTATATTGGCCCCACGCTGGCTATTCTACTTGTCGCTCTTTACATATCTATAGTTCTACATTGTGATTTCCTATCCTGTTTGAGCACTGGTAATCCAGATTTAGTGATCTTGAAAAGTTCCTATCCGGAGCCAGTTTTTCAAAGCAACATCGAATTGGATCAATCTGATCCGGATAGGAACTTTTCAGGACTTTTCTGAAGCTTCACCCGGGCCCGTCTGTGCTGTAGTTCCTTGCGGTTTGCGTACATAAACGCAATATCGCGAAGAACATTACGTGTTTGTTGCTGGAAATGTGCCACCGAGCAACATCCAGTGAATACTGGCACGGCCTGGCGCCCGGTCTTCTCGTGCACTCCCTGGGGCGAGGCGGCCTTTGAACCCTAGGCAGGGAGCAAACAACCCCCGAGGACCCTCGGGGAAACACGGGGGGCCGGTAGTGGGACCTCGCTGCGAGGGTTATGGTGGGTGGGAGTAGCGAGGCCCACTCATCTTCTATTTTAAACTATAGTTTCAAACTTTAGTTTACTATAGTTTGAAATAGAAACCATGGTAACTTATGATTTAAATTTATGCAAAGAGCTTAGAATGACAGAGAGCAACAGACCCGGATTCCGCCATTTTGAATTGATAGCGATCGCTCATCATTGCTGTCGCGATGGAAAGCAGCTGCTTTGTTTTTGTTTAATTTATTCAAAAAGCGCGTTATTGTTTTCCAAATTGTAGTGTCGCCTCTTGGTAATTCTATGCTCTTTGCTCTATGACTGACTGTTGTAATGTTTTGCTTTGTTTTTCAGCTGAGTTGTTGAGCAAAGAAGAACTATTGAAGACAACAGTTGGAGACAACCGCGGGTTATTAGATTAGATTAGATTAGATTCAACTTTATTGTCATTACACATGTACAAGTACAATGCAACGAAATGCAGTTTAGGTCTAACCAGCAGTGCAATAGCAGCAAGTGCAGGATACAGGAATAAGTTATAAAGTGCAGTTATAGAAAACTATGGTGATATTTACAGATGGATGTACTATCAACATTATATACAGGTTGGATAAGCTATGAACAGATTTACAATATATGAATATATGTGCAGGTTGCTATCAATAATCAGTAGTGTGCAGATAGATAAACATGATTACAAGTGTATATGTTACAATATATGAATATATGTACAGGGATAGATAAACATGATTACAAGTGTATATGTAACAATATATGAATATATGTACAGGTTGCTATTAATAATCAGTAGTATGCAGATAAATAAGCATGATTACAAGTGTATATGTATAGTGGGGGTGTACATAATTACAAATGCCCATATGCCGTGGGTATGCACAGTTCAATAAGTAAACAGTTCAATGTGGTGCAGTGAATGTGCAAATTTTAAATGTGCAAATGTTAAACAGTGCAGTTATTGCGAGGAGTTTAAGTTAGAGGAGAGTGGGGGGTGTATTGGGGGGGGGGGGGGGGGCAAAAGAGTCAGTGGGGGGCAAAAGAGTCAGTGTGGGGCAGAGTTCAGGAGGGAGACAGCTCTGGGGAAAAAGCTGTTTCTCAGTCTGCTGGTTTTTGTCCGGGGGAGCCTGAAGCGCCTGCCGGAGGGCAGGAGAGAAAACTGTCTGTGAGCGGGGTGAAAGGTGTCCTTCAGAATACTGCGTGCTCGACGCAAACAGTGTTTCTTCTGGATGTCCTCTATGGCTGGCAGTGTGGTCCCTGTGATGCGTTGGGCAGTTTTCACCACCCGCTGCAGTGCCTTACACTCAGCAACAGAGCAGCTTCCATACCAGACTGTGACACAGTTTGTCAAGATGCTCTCTATTGTGCAGCGGTAGAAGTTCACTAAGACGGCTGATGAAAGCTGGTTCTTCTTCAGTTGCCTTAAGAAGAATAGGCGCTGGTGAGCCTTCTTGATCAGGCTGGAGGTGTTGGTGGTCCAGGAAAGGTCCTTTGAGATGTGGGTCCCCAGGAACTTAAAGGATGAGACAGGCTCAACGGCCATCCCATTGATGTGGATGGGATCATGTGAGCCTGTTCGTCCCTTTCTTAAGTCCACAATGAGCTCCTTGGTCTTTTTGGTGTTAAGGAGCAGATTATTGTCGGTGCACTAAGTGGCCAGATGCTGTATCTCCTCCCTGTAGGCAGTCTCATCATTGTTGCTGATTAGACCAATCACTGTGGTGTCATCTGCAAATTTGATGATGGTGTTGGATCTATTAACAGGCCTACAGTCAACGGTAATATTCACGAGCGCGCGCATTATAATGTTTCCGGGCTGTTTTCTGAAAGTGTGTCTTGTTTAGATAAGTTTGCATGTCAAACTAAATAAACTATACTCCTTCTAAACACCTGTCTCGTGTTTTATTTGTTCTCTACAGCAATGCACTGTCATATAAGTCTGTTGAATGCATTTGTATGCATCATGATTTGACAATACTGTAGTCTAACAAATAAATAGTTGTTATAAATGTACCTTCATTAGTCAACATTTGGTGTTATGGTTGTTTCATAACTATATTTATTATTATTATTATTCTGTATGTTTAAAACCAGCAAATTATACAATATATTTAACATGTCATAAACTTACTGTTATTTTAAAATTTGCCAAATAAAATGTCCTAAGACAAGAATGGGTGTTGTTTTGGTTTTATGTCAACCTACTGTAGGTTTTAGGTTGACTACAACAGGTATAGGCTATATACATCATAGGGTTTTTTTAATGACCCAAATCAAGTAAAACGTCTCTTACTCGAGTACTTTTAGCATGCAAAAGTCAAATTTAAGTATATAAAATAGTTTCCAACAACAAAATTTTATCTTGTAAAAAAGACCAGTGTGGTGGTGAGAAAAAAAGTAATGTCAAGTTATATATATTTATAAAAGAACTTGATCAAATTGTCATAATATTTAGTCCGCTTGTGACCGCTAGATGGCGTTCATTTCAAAGGAGCGTTCATTTCAAAGGAGCGTTACCCTGTACTAAAATGGCAGCTCTATTGACGCATTCCTTCCAATAGACAACACCAGGGTAGGCGACATATGTATATAGCTATGGGCGCTAACTAGTATTTACGTCGTATCATGCTCTTACGCACTTTGAGTCTTTGCGTGATTTCAGAGAGATAGTTCAGCACATATGAAGTATAACAGTGGCGTTTCTACCATTGAGTTACACAATGCAGCATTTAGCTCGCTAGTAAACATCGCCGCTGTCCTCAGATCATTTTCTGAGCAGAAGTTTCATCATTAGCCCTGACTGTCAGATGCTCTTCATCTCAGGAGCGTGAGAATACGGTCAATTGCGTGAAATGTGTATTTGGAAAATTCAGCTGGATTGCAGATGGATTTGCGCTTACTGTTTTTGTAATATTAGGCATTGCTTCAAGAAATGTATTTAAGCAATTAAGAAAAACTATAAAAAAATATTTAATAAAATAAAATTCTATTAAAAAGCTTATGATAGGCGTACTTTTAACGTTTTTAACAACTTTCACATGTAAAAGTTAAAAATGTCAGGTTATGCATTTAGAAACTTAAAACACAAGTTATGCCTATTATAAGTCTTTTGTAAACTGCTGTCATAAGTACCAATTGTATACAAATTTAGATATAATTATTTTTGAAAAATATTCAAATAAATCAATGTGTAAGTTGATGTTTAAGGAAGTCCATAAAAGTTAGAGCAATTAAAAGGCTCATTTTTTGTCTCCACAAATTCCCCAACGTATATATGTTCTGGCAAATATAGGCTTACAAAAATTATTCCACCAAATTTACACACTAATGTAGGCTACACCAAATCTGATAAAATGTAAAAAATGTGAAGATATTTATTAATTCAAACAAACTACAAATTATGGTTTGTTGAATGCATATTCGACTGGACGTCAGAAAATCAGGAAAAAATCATATCGATTTATATTGTTATAAAACGTAATAGATATTAGCAATGTTTCATATATTCGGTAACAAAGCGGACATTAGCATCTTGAAATTGTAGTATTTATTCTACCACTAATATGAGACCAGAAGAGACAGAAATGTAATGTCGGAACTTTTAATCGCGCGTTCTTGTTTCCATCCGAGTTAAATAAACGCGGAACCGGTTTCCTGTGCGTTACACGCGCGTATGCAGGTTAAACTAAACATTGTTTGAATAATCAACGTATCTTAAGGTAATAAAACACAATGGAAACGATTTTAGAGCAACAACGTCGATACCATGAGGAGAAAGAGAGGCTCATGGACGCTAAAACAAAGGAGATGCTGACGAAAAAAACAACGGTAACTTGAGTTAAAACGATGCTAACGCTATAACAGCATTACCCATAATGCACATACAAACCTAGTATATTTAACTCAATACGAACTTTGTTAAAAAGTAATAGTTAAGATGGGAAAATATTTTTATAATCGACGAATTTATTTACGTTGCATTGTTGGTTTCATAGTCCGCTATAGTCCTCTTTTTTACTAACGTTAATGTAGATTGGTAGCGTTACAGATGTGTATTAAACCAGATTTCCTAGTTTGTTTCTTACTATAAAGGCTGTATTATTTTAAAGCTTTATTGTTCAAATTATTTGGATGATTTGTATATCTGACGATTGACTAATTTTATTTGATATCTTTTATTTTTATTAATTTTGACAGTTTACTTTTAAGCGTGACGTCGTTAAGTTTACATCAAGTCATTTGCGTGAACTAACGTTAATGTTCTTTTTCACGGCACGAGTTTCACAGTGAAATACAGTATTTCCATTAATAACTAGGTTTTATTGCTGTAATTATTTAACGTAACAGTTATACAAAATAAGGAACATTCACTTTTTTAACATAGCTTGCCTTGAAATATGTTTTATTCGCATTGGAATTATAACTGCTGTATATTTTCTTTGTACACTCTGCTCATTCAAAGTTTGGTTGTAATCACTGCTATTTGTCTATTTAACGTTTACTTTTTCAACAGCTGAGAGACCAGATCAACTCAGATCACAGAGTGAGAGCCATGCTGGATGTAAGTTTCCTTTGTTCCGTTTCATTTGTTCATTAATGTCTTTGGTTTCCTATAAAGCACTACTTGTTTATTTAGCAAAAAGTTTTTTTTTGACAATTATAAACGCTTGCACTATTTTGAGATGTCCTTGTTGTAGTGTAACCAATCAGTTATTAACATTCAGTTATTACATTTGTTTTTATTAGTGCAACTTTTGAAATGTTGCTATCAACATAGTCTTAGTTGCTGACAAGACAAAACAAATAAACAAACTACAGATTAACTAAAAACAATTCTCTAAAATGCAATTAAAATGTTTTGTAAAGAAAACTTTGTCACATTTGTGTTAATTCATACAGAGATACATGGAAGTGAGTGTAAACCTCAGAGACTTGTATGAAGACAAAGATGGGTAAGGCAGTCTTGATGATATTTGAGTCTTTATTAAAATATATCAGCATTATTTATTGATTGATTGATTGATTGATTGATTGATTGGGTCTGATCAGTATGAGGAAGGATGAGCTGAATGCAATATCAGGACCAAACGAGTTTGCAGAATTCTACAATCGACTCAAGCTAATCAAGGAATTTCACAGAAAGCATCCTAATGAGGTAGACAAAGGGATTTGTCTTTTACTGTCATTTCTGTTTTGTCATTCGAAATACTCAGTCTTTGTTGTGTCAATTTCAGATCTGTGTGCCCATGTCAGTGGAGTTTGAGGAGCTCATGAAAGCCAAAGACAACCCTAGCGAGGAGGCACAAAGTAAGTGAGAATAAAGAGTCCACTCTGAGGAACACATTTATGATCAACAGTTCAAATATTGAGGGCATGTCAGAATCCTTTCTGTTTATACAGTTAAAGCATTTAACAAAAACTCTTTTGTCTGTTGGTGTTGAATCTAAAATTGTTAATGTTTTCATTCATGGATTGAATGACACTTGAGTGTTCTTTATGTGATTATAGACTTGGTGGAGTTCACTGATGAAGAGGGTTATGGGCGATACCTGGATCTCCATGACTGCTACCTAAAATATATTAATCTAAAAGGAGTAGAGGTACAGCCTGACATCTTTGAATTGATTATCTCTAAAGAAGTAAACCAAATGAAAGTAAACCTTTTGTGCTTCTGTATCTTGTTCTTTTTTTTAGAAACTGGAGTATGTTACCTATCTGTCAACATTCGATCAGCTCTTTGACATTTCTAAAGACAGGAAGAATGCTGAATATAAGAAGTTGGTGAAAGTATATTTTTTAAATCACACAAGTCTAAATTAAGCTTTAAAATAATTTTGAAATTGCAATATGACTTAGTGTTTATAATTAATCAGAAAGGATCTAAATCACTACCAAAAATGTACATCTTGTTAGACTTCCCAGAAAAACAACATGTGAAAAAAAATGTGTATTTGTTCTTCTGCTTATAACTATGCCTATAATTTGAAAATCAAATATTAATAATCCTATTCAACTAATGACAAAATTGTGGATCAGACCTGTGCTCGTTGCTGTTTTAAGTTGGCATATAGCTAAGCTTTGATCTCATGGCTCTTTTTTTTGGCAGGTACCTGGAGATGTTGTTGGAGTACCTGCAGGAATACACAGATCGCGTCAAGCCTTTGCTGGATCAGAATGAGCTGTATGGAAAGATTTTGGCAGAGTTTGAGAAGAAGTGGGAGACTGGAATGTTTCCAGGCTGGCCGGTGGGTTTGTATGCCTATATGCTTACATCTGCATTCATAATGTAATCAGGTTTTTCGGAACATCCCTGACTTTAATAATAAGAGGGCAGATAGATTTGATGTACTGATAGATCAACGTTGGAGCACCATGCTTCATTTGTACTTGTGATTAACCACCAAAAGAGAGGAATATCATTCCCAAGTACAGATCTGTGAAGCATGTTTTGATTAGTTTTTTTTTTTTTTTTTGCTTTTGACATGTTGTAAAAACTAGCCTGCAAAGACAAATCATCTAATAATTGTTGAGATGTTAAAGCAGATGAATTACAGAAATTTAACAACAACATTGTGTTCTACTGTATTCATCTAAAGAAGAACTAGCAGACATAAAAAAAATCGGAATACCAAATCTCACCCTCAAAAATCAAGTTTATATTAGTATATGTTAAAAATGGCAATTTTGTTCACGGTCAAAATGACAAATTGTGTTAAATAAGTCTTGTGAATGGCATAAAATGTATATACTCTTTTATATACAAGCTGTCAAATTTAATAGACTAGACTGATGGACATTTGCTGAAAATGGTGAAGAAACGCTGAAGCACTGCAGCTGACTCTAGTATAACACTATTTTAAGTTAAGAAATTTTTTTTTTTTTTTTGCCGCCGCTGTATAGCAGAATATACTTTCACATGAGGCATCCTACCATACTACTACATGTTAACCCTAGGGTTGATCAATAATGTACAATCTAATAAGATGTTAAAATGATTTGTTCTGCTGTATTACCTTAATTTTTTTGTGTATCTAAATGTTGTTTTCTGAATGTGTTTATTGCAGAAAGAGACAAGTAGCGCACTGACTCATGCTGGAGCTCATTTGGATCTTTCTGCATTCTCTTCCTGGGAGGTCAGTTTCTCTGTTGTTGTCTATTAATATTGTGACTTTGTTTTATTTACTATTGTTCACTATTTATTATTGTTTGTTAATGTCTCTGTTAATAGAATGTTGCATGATTAGTAATATGTTTTATTTTTATAGGAGCTGGCGTCTCTGGGTCTGGATAGGTTGAAGTCTGCTCTTATGGCTTTAGGCCTGAAATGTGGAGGGTGAGCAGAAATATACTGTCCATACTCTGTTTAGTTTTACATTTTAATAAATTACAAAAAAATGTCCTGTTTCCTGAGTCTGTATGTTATGTCTGGTGCTAGTTATGAGATTAGTGTTTTTTCGTTGTAGTACACTAGAAGAGAGGGCTCAGCGTCTGTTCAGCACCAAAGGCAAATCTCTGGAGTCTCTAGATCCCTCTCTGTTTGCCAAAAACCCAAAAGCCAAGGGACCAAAGAAGTAAGTGTGTCCGTGTTTGTGAAAATGAATAATACTCTGTGATCTGATTTAATAGTGTAGAAAAGAGTCGCCAATTTACAAAATATATATTTGTTTTTTTTTCGTTGCGTTTGCAGCTCTGGAAGTATTTTTTGCTTGTTAAATGTAACTTCAATATTTTGTTTTGTGTCTGCAGAGACTCAGAACGCAACAAGGAGTCAGCTTTTCTTGAAGCTCAGATTTATGAATATGTGGAGATCTTGGGGGTGAGAAGTTTTCTGCTTTTGCTTTTAGTAGATTTTGTGGAGAAACTTTGTTATATTAGAAATAATTACTTGTTTTTGTTTGTTTTATTTCAGTGTTTTTAATGTTCTTCTGTGGTAATTCCTAATTTTGGTGCAGTGACATCTGCTACAGACTATAGATGATACCTCTGTTGTGCAAATTCTTAAAGCTGTTTTGTTTTGTGCCTTGTAGGAGCAAAGGCAGCTGACCCATGAGAACGTACAGAGGAAGCAGGCACGTACAGGTGAGGAACGTGATGAAGAGGATGAAGAGCAGCCCAGTGAGAGCGAGAGTGAAGATGAAGATAATGAGATCATATACAACCCCAAAAACTTACCACTTGGATGGGATGGAAAGGTACAAATGATTTTATTACAGCATAATTTCAAGTGCAGATGATCTAAAGTGGCCTAAACGTATGCAATCTAACACATAAGGGACTGTAGTATTCATTAAGATTAGTCCTTGATAAATGTTTATAATGTTTGTTATTACATGTAAAAAAAATCCTTCTGTATCACAGATATTACATATAACCTTGCCTTTTGTTTGTTGTCTTTAGCCGATTCCATACTGGCTCTACAAGTTGCATGGTCTGAACATTAATTACAACTGTGAGATCTGTGGGAATTACACATACAGAGGACCTAAAGCCTTTCAGAGACACTTTGCGGTAAGTTTTCAAGAAAAATGCTCTACGATGGTGGATGTATTTATTCTGGTGTTTCATTTGGCTCTACTTTTTAGTAACGATGGTGATTTTACTCACTTTATTAACTTCAATGCAGGGATAAACTAATAAAAATAATTAGTCAATGCTACCTAAAATGCTTTGTAGAAGGGGTGTATGATATGACTATTTTTGATTGTGGATGATGAAATTGTCTGCTTTTAAAGATATATTATGGTATCATACTGCAGTGCTCATTTTAAATGTTGCTATTCTGGCAATTCTGTCTCAATATAGATACTGTACAACATAAATTCACATCAATTATTATTCAGTGGTACAGTTACACTCACAACACGTATTCATATTGTCAAAAGAATGTTAGTTTAGACACGCAGGTCAAATATAAACCGCTAACTGGTCATTCTTTTGAGCACACACACTTAAGGAAAATGATACACACTTGCCACTGCAAAGCCAAAATCAGCACATCATTATAGGTCTAGGTTAACATATTTAGGCCCCGTTTACACTAGTGCAATGGTTCTCAAACTGTGGTTTGTGTACCACTAGTGGTACACAGGCTTCCTTATAGTGGTACGCGAAGGAATGACATATGTCATCTACATGCTACACACATTTAAAAATTGATCTAAAATGATGTATATATTATGCCATATATGACATATAGCCTATATTTCTGAGGTAATCTGCCCTGTTTTTTTTTTTAAACTGTGCAAAGGTGTAGCTGCTTTACTGGGCCTACTAAGATACTGTATTTTAATACTGCTCATTTTGGTGGTACTTGGAGAGACATTTTTTTCCAAGGTGGTACTTGATGAAAAAAGTTTGAGAACCACTGCACTAGTGCATTTTAGTTTTAAAATGGTGTTTTAGAATAAAAACGATCCACGTCCACACCAGCATTTTACCCAGCGTTTCTGAACAACTCTGTCTACACCAAGCCACTGAAAACGCACATCACGTGACCATACACACACTAGGGTTGTAACAATATACCGGTATGACGGTTTAACACGATTTGAACGTGCACGATTATCATACCATGAACAATTGCATATCAACGGTTTTAACCCTTAAAGACCGAGACAGCCGCCCGCGGCTAAAAATAAGTAATGCTCTTAAATGTTTAATAACTTTTGATCCGCTGATCCGATTCATACAATTCAAAGATTGGCATAAAGAAGAGAATCTCAGCTTTCCAGTGCTGTGGACTTTCAGAGGCTCCGGAATCAGTGCGGTTACGTCATCAACATTTGACAACGCTGATTTGACAAAGAAACGCTTGTCACTGTGTCTCCGGACAAATCAGACATGATACATTGATGCATTGTCCCTCTTCCATGCCCAGATTGGTTCAAACTCGCTATATCACAACCAATAAGCATAGGTTTCGCTTTTGTTTGTGGACCAAGCTTTTTGAACAACACGGAATGAGAGAAAGGCATACATTTATGCGCGGCTAAATAAAACGCAAAAAAAAAGTTTTGCATGAAATAATTCTCATACTAAGTACTTTTGCATGCACAGCAGCACAGAAACATGACAAAACAGTGACACAGCAAAGACGAACTGCTGCTCTTGACGCAAATGAAGATGCAGCTGTTTGTCTGCATTGCAGACAACCATATCCATATCCATAGACAACCATATCCTTGCTGGCACATAAAATCTAGGGATGTTCCATATTGAATCTAGTTTCGTTATGTAACTATTTATAGTATAGTAAATATTTATATCTATTTTTTACTGAGGATTTGCACCATGTTTATTTGGACTTTATTTGGACTTTGACACATTATTTATTATTTTCTTATTTTTATTTGTTCATTGTAAGTGGTGTTGTTTATAGTAACTAAAAATATATTATTTGGAAAAAGTCAAATTTGCTTCACTGTTCTATTATTTTGTAACATACCGTATACCGCGAAACCGTCAAACCGTGGTATTGTTTTAGACGATTATCATACCGTGAAAAATTCATACCGTTACAACCCTAACACACACACACACTGGCATGTGCTGCACTGCAGCATATTTACCCAGATGAGAGCTGTGCTCGTCGGACTGTTCTTCAAGGATCTACCTCTTGATCCAATCTCACTATATTTGTTGAATGTGATATATAACTCATCTTATGATCTGATCGGCCCATAAAACACTTAGCAGACTGTCATGTTTTTTCCCTAAGTGATTGACGAGCTGTCACACTCCTGTGAGCTGTCACGCTCTGAAAGTAAAATGTTTCTTTTCTGGACAGAGCGGCCATGTGACAATCTGCAGCCCATTGGTTCTTTTCTATATTGACATTGGGCTGAGCCAATCACAAACTTCCATGTTGGGCTCTGTGTAAAGTAGGTGTGTATTTATTAAAATAGTCGAGAGTCACGTCTGTTTCTTACGCGCGCGCGAGAGAGCAAAAGCGGCCTGCATTTGCCTTTTCATATCTGCATTCTGCACTCTGCAGCGGGACATTGTGTTTTTGATCGTCAGCATGATGTAGGCTTATAGTGAAAATAATATTTATACAATATGGTTATAATGATTTATACATGACCAAATTAGTGTGCAACTAAGGCAACTTTTTTTTACATTAACTTTTGTAGTTCTGCCCAAACAAATATTTGTTGCATTTTCTAATTGTTTAAGTTCATTTGATTGGCAGTGTAAAATCTTTTAGCTATGTTTGATGTTTCATTGTTAAGTTAAAAAAAAAATATTTTTAGGGTCTCTGATACATTGCTTTTATTGTTTATCTTTAACAGCAGGCAGCTTTTGTCATGTTCAAACGCCAGGGCCGATTATTTTGTCCCAGTCCAGCCCTGCAATAAGTACAATTGTTAGTATTCAATACTTTATTATTATTATTATTTATTTATTTATTTATTTTTTTCCATATCTGTAATGTAATGTATTTTGGCATTTTTTTTGCAGTCCACTTAGAATCTAATAGGTTAAGTGCAATTAATTAGTTAATTTTTTTTAAATCAATTGACAGCACTAAATTTATGTAACTACATACATTCTGTATATTGACTGATTGCTTGCCTTTATTTCCTATGATGTACAAAGTTATTGTACATTATACTTTTATAATGGCCATTATTGATTATTAAAACTCAAAAATATTCAGCAAAAGAGAGGGTATTTTTACTGAAAATGAAAGGAGGCTTTAATTCTATTTTACAGCCTCCATTTCCACTCCCTTGCCTTGTTCCAGAGTATTTTTTTTTTAATTAAGCACAAAAGAAGAGATTGTAAAAAAAAAATGCTGAAAACCTGTAAACATTGACTTTGTTTTTTTTGTGCACTGTGAAAGTCAGTGGTGACAAGTTTCCAACATTTTTCAAAATATTACACATCCACATTATTGAGTATGTCTTTGTGCTCGTAACCGAACAGTTGTTGGCTGCTGATAGCAAAATAAAAATATAAAATTTATTGTAATTTTTTTTTCTGTATATTGTAGCTTGTAGTTTGTTGTACTAGTGCACTAGCTCTGTCAAGATATCTTTTTTTTTGCTAGTACAATATATATATATATATATATATATATATATAAAGAAATACTATGATTTTTAAGACCATTTTGACACTATAACAGCATCATAATGCAAGTACACTTTTAAAAATGCATAATAATATAACTTTTAGCTAAAATATGGCTAGAACAAGCAAGTGGAGCCGCTCAATACCCAAACTTGTTAACCTGTATTCAACTGAATTAACAATCTCTTGAAAAAGCTAGATAGGAGACAAAGTACAGTTGATAAAAAAAGAGCACAACAATAGAAAATTACTGCTTTACAATGTCCAGTGTCAATACAGACCTTAAAATGTTTATTCGTAAAACATGTGTTGCTTGAATCCACACAGTCATAAGATTATAACGACATGGAAAAATGAAATGGTAGCAATAAAATATAAAAACGTAATAAAATGACATAATAATTGCAATTATTACAAATTACAGTAATAATCATTAACTAATAAACAATAAAATAACAATGATAATTATACATGACGAATGATCATATGATTAAGTAAAATAATTAAAAGAAGAATAAATTAATATAAACAAGTGAAAATAAAACCACACAAATGCATAATTGTTTTCTTGAAACAACATGCATAAGTTTGCTACAAGAATTCTCAGATTCTTAGTTAGATTCTTTAACATGTTGTGCGATACGTCAATATATTGATTATTGTGACAGGCCTATGTTGTGCAAAGGTATGATATCATAGACAAGTATTTTCAAGTTTTAGATTATGTGGAGAATCTGTGCTTATACTCTCATTTTCTAAATGTTTTATAAAAATGCGTGACAGGAAACCAAAAATAAGAGAATACAGAAGGTCTGTGTGTCAATTTGTCTCTTTTTCCCTGTTTCAGGAGTGGCGTCATGCTCATGGCATGCGCTGTTTGGGCATTCCTAATACAGCCCACTTTGCCAATGTCACCCAAATTGAGGATGCAGTATCCCGTGAGTACTACTAGATCATAAAATATTTGTGTTTGTGTGTAGGAATGTGCTTTTATGTAGTAGAGAAATTAATGCTCTGTTTAGATAATATGACTTAACTGTTCTCTTAGAGAATTTATTAGATTAGATGATTAGATTAGATTCAACCTTATTGTCATTACACATGTACAAGTACAATGCAACGAAATGCAGTTTAGGTGTAACCAGCAGTGCAATAGCAGCAAGTGCAGGATACAGGAATAAGTTATAAAGTGCAGTTATAGAAAACTATGGTGATATTTACAGATGGATGTACTATCAACATTATATACAGGTTGGATAAGCTATGAACAGATTTACAATATATGAATATATGTGCAGGTTGCTATCAATAATCAGTTGTGTGCAGAGAGATAAACATGATTACAAGTGTATATGTTACAATATATGAATATATGTACAGGGATAGATAAACATGATTACAAGTGTATATGTAACAATATATGAATATATGTACAGGTTGCTATTAATAATCAGTAGAATGCAGATAAATAAGCATGATTACAAGTGTATATGTATAGTGGGTGTGTACATAATTACAAATGCCCATATGCAGTGGGTATGCACAGTTCAATAAGTAAACAGTTCAATGTGGTGCAGTGAATGTGCAAATGTTAAACAGTGCAGTTATTGTGAGGAGTTTAAGTTAGAGGAGAGTGGGGATGTATTGGGGGGGGGGGGGGGGGGGGGGGGCAAAAGAGTCAGTGTGGGGCAGAGTTCCGGAGGGAGACAGCTCTGGGGAAAAAGCTGTTCCTCAGTCTGCTGGTTTTTGTCCGGGGGAGCCTGAAGCGCCTGCCGGAGGGCAGGAGAGAAAACTGTCTGTGAGCGGGGTGAAAGGTGTCCTTCAGAATACTGCGTGCTCGGCGCAAACAGTGTTTCTTCTGGATGTCCTCTATGGCTGGCAGTGTGGTCCCTGTGATGCGTTGGGCAGTTTTCACCACCCGCTGCAGTGCCTTACGCTCAGCAACAGAGCAGCTTCCATACCAGACTGTGACACAGTTTGTCAAGATGCTCTCAATTGTGCAGCGGTAGAAGTTCACCAAGACGGCTGATGAAAGCTGGTTCTTCTTCAGTTGCCTTAAGAAGAATAGGCGCTGGTGAGCCTTCTTGATCAGGCTGGAGGTGTTAGTGGTCCAGGAAAGGTCTTTTGAGATGTGGGTCCCCAGGAACTTAAAGGATGATGTCTAACAATATCTGTTTTCAATAGGCAATTTTCCATGTTTACAATAGTTACAATAGGAAAATGCAGCAAAGCCCTAATCGTGTTTTTCCATGGCTGTTTCAGATTTTTTCTTTTAGCAAATTGGCCAGTTCTATACTGATATTACATTTTTACAAAATGTATTAATTTTTTCCCTAAAAACTAGAAAAAAGTTATGCGAGCAAAATGTTTATTTGCTTTATCACAGGCTGAATCTGTGGTATATTATTATTATATTGGGTAGTTGATGAATCAGTAGATGATATATTGTCATTTACTTCTCAGAGAGCAGACTATATGCTCTAGATTTTCTAAAAACAGATAACTGTCACATCTAAGTTAGATATTTTTCTTTTTCAAAAGAATGAAAAAATAGTCTGGTATAAATCAAGCAGAAAAACGTTTATTTGCTATTGCTAAGATGTAAGGACGTCATAAACCTAAATTAATAGATTTATTTAAATAGAATGTCAAATGCATAAAAAGATGAAGTATAAAGTGGAAATGAGGATGGATCATTGAATATGGGTGCAGTGAGCTGTGTCATTTTTATTTATCTTGCTTGTAAAGTAATTTTTAAAACTCATTCGCAATAGTACATATACACATTGTAATTTCACAGACAAATCACTCAACCCAATAAGAAGTCAAAACAAAATGTGAATAAAAAACAATGTCAGTTAATAATGCATTGTCATCATTTCATGATTGGTCAGTATTTCTACATGTAACATTAGAGACCCATCTGGATGGTTATTTATATTTAATTGTTTGTTTCTCTGCAATAGTGTGGTCAAAACTGAAGTCACAGAAAGCATTGGAGCGATGGCAGCCTGACACAGAGGTGGGTGATTCTAAAACACCTTTTGTTTTGTAAAGGTGTCTTGCAAAAGCTCTTCTCTGGCTGAAGCTTCTATTGTGTTTTTATCGATGATTTGATCTTGATCTCAAATATCCAATATCTTGATATTTCTGTTTATTATTTCTTGCCCTTGCAGGAGGAGTATGAAGACTCCAGTGGAAATGTTGTCAACAAGAAGACTTATGAGGATTTGAAACGACAGGGACTGCTGTAGAGTCCTTAACAACATACACATGAAATTTGCGCAATGTAAATACTAAAGCACATGTTTCTTTCAGTCATAGTGAATAGAGCGGTGCAGAAATAGCAATAAAACCTGGAAGAGTAATTAGCTAACCCTAACCCTAACCCTAACCCTAACCCTAACAGGTTTCTAGAATTCAGTTTATCAAGTAATATCTGTGGTAAGCATAATGTGATAATACTTTAGCGTTTTGCTCTGCGTTGTGAATTAGACACACTCATATCAAAAAGGTGAATCTTAACACGGTTTTGTATCTTTTACAAAGGAATATGTTTCTAAAAAGTAACTTGAAAGTTTGGTCATGGGTTTGAGTAGTTTGCATTGTAGAACAGAACGTTAAAATATTGTTGAATTGTGTACCACAGGCCTTTTTATTGACTGGTGATCTTGTAAGAACCTATTGAATTATTAATTTGGGTTGTGATGTCATTTCTGCATCACTCTAACATTCAAAGATTTGTTCCTCTAGTTTGTGTGAAATGTGATTTATCTTTTTAATCTGTTTGTACGTTGTTATTGTTATGTCACATTTTCTTTTGGGATCTTATACATTAGACAGATACTTTCGTTATTCAATAAATTTTAGTAAATGGAGAGTGTGTTCATGGAAAATATTTTTAATTTTTTTATTTAAAACAGTCAAGATGTTTTCCTAAACCTGCTGTACAATTGTATCAATTATTGAAGTCGTTGGACTTCACTTAATTCAGTAAACAAGTCACTGTACTCGTACATGTATTCATGCCTCTTAAATTTTCCCCTAAGTTTTGTTGCAGCTATATTTTATTTTTCCTACTTGCATGAACCTACGATTCATAATGATGACATGATGCTGCACAAATTGGGTTGGTGATAACTTCAGAATGTTATCATAAAAAAATCAGTTAAAGGGCATCTATTTTACCCCTTTTACGAGATGCAAGATAAGCCTTTGTTGCCACCAGAACTTGCCTGTAAAGTTTCAGCCTAAAATACCCATCAAATTATTTGTTATAGAATGCAGTAGAGGCCAATTTTGGTGTCTGAGGATAATAACTATTTTTTGCAGCCTGTGACTTCAAATACAATTGAATTGGTTCTCTCCGCCCACTATTTCATATTTCAGAATGCGTGTCTGCTTTTACTGCGTTAAAGAGGAACAGCAGTCTATAACAGACTGAGTTGAAATACAGCTCATTAGTCAAAAATACCAAATAAGTTTTTTTTTTTTTTTTGATGTATTTGTGGTGAAGTTTATTCAAGTTTTTCTGAAACAATGAGTCTCACAGAAATGCACATTTACTGACACCCTGCAGCTGTGATGATTATATCAATTAAGAATTGCATAGTGCACTCCTACGTCATGTTGCGTAGGCCTCAAAATCGCTGGCAGAGACTTGTTTACGTCACTTCAATGTGACAGTGGACACACTACACACAGTTCTGTCTAAACAGCTTCTAAGAGATGATTTTGCATTATAGGTGCCCTTTTGATATTTAAACGTTGATGTAAGACATTTTAGTTGAGGAATATCTCATTATAGATTCTTGTGTAGTGAATTTAGTAAGTAATTTTGATTTGTAATATGACTCTCTCAGTAGCCTACTTTAAGCATTTTAGTGAACTTAATACTGCAGTAAAAGCTTTGCTTTTCAAAATGGCCAATTATTTAGTTTGCCAATCACTATGTAATGGTGGTGGAGGAAAGCGTTTCCCACCTCACTCATCTGACAACACCACAAAGTGGCTCAATAATATTTAGATCTGGTGGCTTTGCAGGCCATAGATGTTCAGCTTTACTTTCATGTTCATCAAAATACTCTGTCACCTGTCTTGCTGTGTGTATTGCTGCATTATCATCCAGAGACATGGCATCGCCTTCAGGATACAATACTTGAACCATAGGGTGCACATGGTCCTTCTGAATCATTCGGTTGTTTTTGGCAATGATGTGCCCATCTAGCACAAGGGTCTAGGGAATGCCATGCTATTGCAGCCTAAACCATCACTCATTGACTAGTGTGGGTAGGGTTGGTGGTACACTTCTTTGGAACAGTGAAGGTGGACTCCTCAGAGAACATTACACATTTTCCACAGCCCAAGTTTTGGCACTGGTGACCAAAGGTTTGGCCATAGCAGCCCGGCTATGTTTGACCCTAATATCCTGAGTTTTGGTGGAAACAGGAGTTGATGTGCATAATTAATTCTGCAGTAAGTTGGCTCTATTTTTATTTTGATTAGCACCCTGACATCCCTTTCAGACAGCTTTCTTTTGCATCCACAGTTACTCCTGTTGGATATTTTTGTCTCGCTCGATTGAATTTTGACTTGCTGTAGCATTTTCCTGATCTCAGAGTCAGACCTTCTGTTTTACCTCAGACTGCCTTGTTTCAGTGTTGCATTCATGTTTCACCATAGCTTCTGCTGCAGTTCCTGAGCAAAACTCCTGATCCTGATCGAAATGAGTTTGACAATAAGATCCTAGACAAGACTTGACAGCCTTGTGTTTTCTTCCAGTACAGATGTCACAATAATGTCACATTACCAGGTTCAGCCAGAACATCAGCCTTTAGTTAGGTGTATTTTTTTATTTTTTTACCTACAGTAGGATTGGAGTAAAGGTTTGTCTACATTGAGGACAATGGTAGGCTCTAATCTTTTCCCGTTGATACCATGTCTGTAATTAATACACACTGTAAAAATAGCCATTATTTTAAAGGTAGAATTTTACTCTTATCTGTTTAACAGTACGGTTTTTTAATATATGTGGTTCATAACTGTAATTTACGTTCCCACAATTCCCTACACAACACACCACTTTTTATGTTTTGGTTTTTTGACATTACTATTGCTCTTTTTTTTTTTTTCTCATCAGTTATGTACATTACAGTTTTTGTTACATCTATTGTTGATAAACAACGTTTATTGCATTACATTAGTGTCGTGCCATGGTGTTTATCATCATTCTATTTATCATCGGCTTGTCAAAAGCAGATTGTGGTGACCATTGGTTCACGTTATCTGACTTTCTCACTATCAGTTACACTTAATGCAGACTGATTGCAGCTGCATGCTATGCTTTTAATGCAGACCCTAAACCCTACTCCTCTCAGTGACGTCACTACCTCCATTGAGTGCATTGTCTCACATTGCAATCTGAGATATGCAGTCTCATCTTGCAAATCTAAGTCTTCATCCAGATACTGGAGAATCTTTATCTGTGTAAGAAAGGTACAATGAAAACATTAATGTGTATAAACGCTGTGCATTAATGAAAAAAGGTAGTTTACTGTACATTTTTTAAATGTTTTTTATAGTTTCCACTATAGTTTTTAACAGTAACATTCTGAAGATCTATTCTTAGAACTTTTAATATGATGAGACCCTTTCTGATTACTTGTCAGATAACTTTTCTAATCTAAAGCTTATAACAACAAAATCATATTTTAAACAACAATTAAGGAACCTTCCGAAGATCTTGACGAACTGTTTCAGCTTTAATGGCTTCATCCATTTCTCTACATTTAACGCAGTAATTTCAGCTTCTTCTTCATCTTTTTAAAATGCCCACTAGATGTCAGTCTTATACAGAAACTAGTGAGAAAAAAATACAAAGTTGCTTAAAAAGTAAAAAGTACAGGAACGGAACGGATGGGAAAGTATATCATTTATTTTATTGTTAAAATATTAATCTGTATGTTTTATTTTTATTTTTTGAGCATTACTAAATAGTTCTTAAAGCAATAACACTAATAGTATTAATACTACTAATAATAATATTTATTTTATGTTTGGCATTTATTTCCCCTTTGATAAACATCAAAATATTTAAGAATATGGTTTTGCTATTAATACACCTGAATTTCTATTTTTAAAGCTGAAATATCCAGTTAGGGGCTTTTAGATTTAACATTTCTGTATATAGCAATGGCTATCAACAAAAAGCTCAAGAATCATTAAGGAGGAGCAGCGCAAGTTACATTAAGCTCTAAAATATTTGTATACTGCATTTAACAGTAATCAGCTTTGTTTACTTTATTAATGAACAGATTTGTCTCTGTTGGTGGCCCTGCAGACCTAGCATCATCAATAATTACTAAGAGCTTTGATCACTTACATTTGAAATCACGTTAATTGTTATGCAAGTCTATGATTTTTTTTTAAGTGTACACACTGCACACTAAAATGTTTTTACCTTTTTTCACTTTGAATTCACAGGCACATTTTCAGGTCATACATGATGAACAGCACAGTTTGTTCATTGTTCATATCAGATGGGATAAACAAACAGTGTTTGAAATGTAAGAATAATTACTTTTTTTTTTCAGTCATATGATTATGCTAGCAGATCACAGGTCTATTTTTGCAGCTTTAGTGAGCAAAAGATAAAAAGGAAAAATCAGAAGTCAGTTGTGTCATTATTTTTATATTAAGTTAGGTCAATGTTCATTTTAATAACTGGAAATATCAATAGTACCTCGATGCAGACTTTGATTTGCAATCTGGGACTGCATATCTCAGATTTCCAGTGTCAGACACAATGCACTCAACTGAGCTAGTGAGGCCACAAGTGAGGAGTGGGGTTGTGTGCATTAAAAATCATTGCATAGTTCAGCTTGCAACTGCACCAAGTCTGAAACCAGACCCCTTTCGGAAATATTGCAAAGTTCCTCGGTTATGGTAAAGGTTTTCAACAATAAGCAACTCTAAAAAAAAAAAAAAAGACAACTATTTCATTATTCTCTTAAAATCACTTCAGTTTTGGTTATGTTCAGCTGAATAACGATACAATTGGTTAATATGATTCCATTTAGCTTTTAGCAGCTCTACAGACAACAGTGTCATTATTCAGCTCCATAGTTCAACGCTGACTCATAAGAGCCTAAATTCTTTAAAAAAATGGCTTCTACTAAAATACTACAAATAAAATGATCATGAATCCAAAAGAAGAACCCAGGAACAGTGAAATGGGAGATATTCATTTATTAAAAATCACTGTCAGTAATGATTATGAGCTGTAGCTAAAGACTGGAGAGAGAAAGCAGTCTGAAACCCGGGTGTCAGAAAGGAGTCAACAGGTAACATCTGAAACAGCAACCGAGAAAAGAGTCAGACAGACTGGGGTCGAGAGAGAAGGAGACGAGATCCTGTCCAACGGCAGACTCAAAGTCAAGAGCCGAGTACAGGGTCAAACCCAATAAAGTCCAAAGAAAGCAAACGACACCAGCGGTGAAATCCAGCTCCACAAATGCAGCTGAAGGGCAATGTCAAGTAGACAGTCCTGAAATAGAGAAACTGACTGCCAGATCATCAAGCTCAGTTTAAGGGCATCTTAAATTGAAGGTTCAGTAGAATGTCACAGATCAACTTTTAAACGCCCCAAATACTTTGCATGGAAAATTATTTGATTATTAATCAGCAAGTTTGTCCAATTTTATTACCTGGTGAAAGAAAATAAAACAAGTTGAAGGCATTTTTTGTCATAATAAATCACTTAATGCTAAAATGTGCATCATGTAAACAACTGGGAGACCACAGATGCTTGGCGTTAATGTAATAAATTAACATTCATTCATTTTCCTTAGGCTTAGTC